AAGAAAATAAGAGAGAGTTAAAAAGAAAAGGAGACAAAAAATAAAAGTAACCTTTTCTTTACGTACACATTACATTATACATGTACATGTACATCTTCATCTCTTACCTTACTCCCTCTTCACTATCTCTCTAGGAGCCTAAAATATCTGAAGTTCAAAAGTTTGCTGATCAGTTGGTTCAAAGCAGACACTACGCTGCAGTCGAGATAGCCGAACGACGTGCCTCGGTCCTCTCAGCTTGGGCCAAACTAAAGCAGTCCCTCGTTGACTGGAGAAGCAGACTAGGCCAGTCACAGAGTCTACAACAGTTCAATAGAGAAGTGGACGAGATTGATGCCTGGTTGGGCGACAAGCTCCAAACGGCCGGTGATGAGTCGTATCGCGATCCGACGAACCTTGAGAACAAGTTACAGAAACACGAGACTTTTGAGAGCGAAGTTGAGGCCAGCAAGGAGAGGGTCTTTGGTCTTGTTCAAGCTGGAAAGGGTAAGATATGACTCGGCACTTAATTGCTGTGTTGGATACAGTATAGTTGAAAGTGTTGACAGGGTTTAATTTTTTGGTAATCTAGCAATATTGAGCATGTGGAGAATGAGGGAAAATGGTAGATTTTGTAATAACAGTTTATCTACAAACTGATATTAGTTTAATGATTCCCTGTCAAAATTGTTGATATTTTTAACCAGACGTACTATTTCTTACTTTCTTTTATTACATGGTCACATTGTGATGGTGTACCTTTATTTACATGTACATGTACACGTATATCGTTTGATATCATTTGTTCTTCTCCTTCTTTCTGATGTACTTGTAGATCTAATAGAGTCCCAGCAGTGTCCTGGGCAGGAGGGGGACATACAGGAGAGGATAGGATCACTGGAGGAGCAGTGGGAGAAACTCATCAACAAAACCAACGAGAAGACACAGAAACTGAAGGAGGCCAACCAGGAGAGACAGTTTAATGAAGGGATTAGAGGTACATGTACAACAATAAAATAAAAAAACTAATAATTATTATTAATAATAATAGTAATAATAATCACTTTGAGGATTACATAATACATATACAATGTATATTTTTATTTATGAGATTTTAATTTTTTATCTGTCTCTCTTACAATTACAAGTATACATGTCATGTTGTACATGTATTTGTTCTTGCCTGTGTTTCACTCTTTCTTCTCTCTCTCTCTCTCCTTCCCTCAGATCTTGATTATTGGTTGCAGGAGACAGAGGCTAAGCTCTCCAGTGATGATTTAGGTAGAGATATTGATGGAGTGGAGGCATTGGCTAAGAAACACCAGCTCCTCGAGGCAGAACTACTGGCACAACAGGTAACCCATAACATAAATAATACATTGTAATATTTTGTGTTTTTTTGTTATTAACAAAAAACTTTTTTTGCCTTGTTTTGGTTGTAGGATCGTATCAAAGATCTCAAGGCACAGTCAATGAAGTTTATGGAGGATCATCACTTTGATGCTCAGAGCATACAGGCCAAGCAAAGAGACACTGAAGCTAGATTCGGAAGGTATATTCATGCATACATGTACTTGTAATATAATACATCAAAGAAATTTTATATGGGCAGTTTATTTCACAATCACCAACCCGCCAATTATCAAAATACCTCACCAATATTCACTGCTACATGTAATGTAGCCTATACTTACTGGATAAGTGATTGGAACTTAGTATTTGATAGTAATACTATCACAATACTACATGTACATTGTGCCTGTATCACTATTGATAATGTTGATACTATAGAGTACTATTGATACCTTTATTATTTCTGTCCCTCTCTCTTTACTCTTCCACTATTCATTGCATTATAGACTTCAGCAGTTAGCTAAAGGCCGTAAGGCAAAGCTAGAAGACTCTCTCACGTTGCATCAGTTTTATGGGAGCATCAACGATGAGGAGGCATGGATCAAGTGAGTCTATGCATGTTATGTCTTTGGCCAACATGTAGATGCACACATACTTGTACCCCACTTTTATCCACATCTTTCCCTCTCTCTCTTTCTCTGTATCTCTTCCCCTCCCCCCTCTCTCTCTTTCTCTCTCTCTCTCTTTCTCTCTCTCTCTCTATATGCATCTCTCTCTTCTTCCTTTTATTTTCTAGAGAGAAGAAGTTGCTAGTTAGTTCAACTGATTATGGTAAGGATCTCCTTGGTGTCCAGAGACATCTCAACAATCACAGGAAATTGGAAGACGAACTTAACACGCACGAACAAGCACTAAAGGTAATAGCAATGATACTCTAACTTTCCTTTACTATCTCAAGTCCTATATTTTTTCTAAACCTAAGTGTATACATTTTTAACCTGTTGTATTTCTAGATATTGTACTTTTATAATAATGATAATAATAATAATAACTTTAAAATATATATTATTTGATTTTTCTTTCTTCTTTTTCTCTCAGTCTCTGTTATCTCAAGGTGACAAGTTAGCCTCGTCTGATCATTATGCTATGCTGGAGATAAAAGAGAAATGCTCCAACCTACAGGACCAGTGGCAAGACCTCAATAACCTTGCATCTAAAAGGTTAGATTTTTCACAATGCAAATATTGCATGTGAGATGTGAAATCAAGAAGAAGGATTTGTATTATATTTCCTGGTGTATATCGATGCCCTTACATGTTGTGTGTATCTTAAAAATGGTTCTAATCACAGATTTTGAGCTACTGTACATGTACATGTACAGTTTATATCATGAAATAATGAACTTTAAAAATTTTAGTGGCCAAAAACTATTAAGGATCTTCACCAAATGACTACAAATACACGTATATTTAAATCGTCCTTGATACATGCACAGTTGCACATGCAAGTAGCATAATTTTTTTCCTTTTTTCTCTTTCTCTAGGCACCAGAAGTTGCTTGAGTCCCTCTCTTATCAAGAGTTCAGTGCTCGGGTGAGCGAGGAGGAGTCATGGCTCTCAGAGAAACTATCACTGACTGGAAGCGATGACTATGGAAACAGTCTGGCTGCTGTCCAGGTGAGAACTAAACAGTAACATACATCTACATCTTTAATTAATTGAGTGGGTGTTTATTAGTTGTTAATAATAATAATAATAATAACAATAATAGTAATTAAATGAAAATAGACAGATAATACTAATAATGATAGAAAGCTGAGCCTCTTTATAACGGACACTTTTGAGACAAAAAATTTTGTCCTTTATACAAAGATGTCATTCATATAGGAAATGCAATTGGTACACTATACTTGTAAATACTACATGTACTTGTTAATGAAGGTGTCTGCTATAGAGAGCGTCCATTAAGAGAGGATAGATGTATAGTAATTATGCTGGTTGTTTCTTTTCTAGTCATTGTTAAAGAAACACGAAGCGTTTGAGACTGATGTTGTTGTCCATCAAGGAAGAATAGCAGAGATGGAAGAAACGGGAGAGAAGTTAACGAAACAAGACAACTATCAAGCAAAGCAAATTAAACAGAAACTAACACTGTTAAAGGTACTCAATGTGTTAAATTCATAATTGCATGTACAATTGTACATTAGAAGTGATATGCATGTATGTGTATTAATCACATTCATAATTTGGTTTGTCACCCACTCAACTTAATATCCCTGCAACCCACGATAGCCTCAGCATGTTTTTATGGTATATAATGATCAGCATGCCATTTGCCTCCTGTTCAAGTTTCTTTTTGCTGCAAGGAAAAATTTTTGAAGGGACAACACAGTCCCATTCTTTCATTACTTTATTTAGAATTAATGAAACTAAAATGTGTATGTACATGTACATGTGTTATTGTTGCATGTATAGTACATGTACATGTAAAATGTCATTATTTCTATTTATTAGTCTAAAATGAAAGAGTTGGAGAGTGCTGGTAAGAGGCGTCAGGCTGGACTCCAAGACTCCAAGAACTGCCTTCAGTTTTACTGGGAGGCTGACACTGTTGAGTCTTGGATCAGTGAGTCATTAATTAGAATTATTAATACATCAATATCTTAATTAATCTATGATGTACATGTACATGTACATTTGAAACCATAAGAGCATGTTGTGATACATTTGATAATCAAATAATTGTACATGTACATTTGTGAATGTAGCAAATAAACCATTATATATGTTTCTTTCTATTTTTTTTTATTTCAGAGAATAAACATGGGCAGCTTCATTCTGATGATCATGGTCGTGACATTCTCTCTGTGCAAGCTTTACTGACCAAACACGTAATGAGAGAGAGAGAGAGAGAGATGAGAGAGAGAGAGTGGGGGGAGGGTGGGAGAGAGGGAAGAGGGAAGAAGGGGAGGAAAAGAGGAAGGGAAAGAAGAGAGAGGAGGAGGAGAGCAAGCATAATGTACATGTATTTTGAGTTGCCTAGTTTTAGCTTTACTATAATTACATAGGAGACATTTGAAGCTAGTCTCAGCTCTTATAAGAAAGAAGGTATTGATAATCTCACACAAGTGAAGGATGATCTGATATCAACTAATCACTCTCAGTCACGTAGCATAACCCAGCGTCACACTGATGTCATGAGGAGGTCAGTTACTATAGGAAAAATTCATAATGACACACAGTGTACACTACAATGATGCAGAACTTTCATTATTGTTTTATTTAAATTATTTGCTTATCTAATGTTTGTCATCTTCCTCTCTCTCCTCTCCTGATCCTCTTTATTAGGTGGGATAAGTTACAGAAAGATTCTGATGCTCACAAAGCCAGGCTCCAGCGTGCATTAGATCAGTTTAAGAAGGTACCAATGTTTCATTTAATGTATTAGCAACCAGTGCGTATACATGTACATGTATACACAGGCAAACCTTTATACATTGTACATGTATTATGTTCTTCAAAATTTGACAGTGTGCTAAAAATAGCTATGAGAAAATTCTACATTTTAATGATTTTTTCTGATATATATACATGTACTAGAGTGGCATAGATATAGATTTGATCAAAATTGGATTTTTTAGTAATTGAGCTGATTCTAATCAAATCCAAATTGGTATTAGTACATGTTTATTTCAGTTGATTAATATAATGGCAATAGTAATTTAAAATTCCCTAGCATTAGCAACATAATCAATTGACTTCATGTCTAATGAATTTATTATTGGTACTGCATGTACAATGTATTATGAATTTATGACGCATGTACATGTACATTTTCATGCAGGTGGAGGAGCTGTTTCGTCAGTTTGCTGAAAAGGCATCAGCTTTCAGCATAGCATTGAGCAACATTGAAGAGGATTTGGCAGACCCAGTTCGCTGTAACTCTCTACATGAAATTGAAGTAAGAGAGAGAGGGCGCCAGGGCGGGAGAGAAAGAGTGGGAAAGAGAGAGAGAGGGAGGAAAGAGAGAGAGGGGGAGGGAAAGGGAGAAGAGAGAAAGGCAGAGGGAGAGAGAAAGCAAGATTAATAATAATGCTTTATACATGTACATGTAGTTGTACATGTACATTAATGTACATGTACATGTAGTATCATCATGTATTGTCCTATATTTTGTATAGAGTATAAGAGGGTCTCACCAGCAGTTACAGCAACAAGTCTCCATATGTAGGAATGACCTGAAACAAATCTCTACCCTTGACAGACAAATAAAGTCGTACAGCACTTCAGCCAGCAACCCGTTAGTAGACAGAGAGAGAGAGAGAGAAAAGGAGGGAATTGTGAGAAGAAGAGAGAGAGGGGGAGGAAATGAAAACAGTCCAAGAAAGAAGCTAGATGTACATATATGTACATATAGTAAATTATTAATCATCTTGGCAGCTTGCCTGAATGCTATAGCACTATCAGCTAGTGTGTTTCCTTCTTGTATGCTAATAATGCATACATGTACATGTATTTTGCTAATGCATGTACATGTACATGCATTTGCCTATGTATGTGTTTTCTCACTGCTCAATCATGGTCAATCCTTCATACCTCTAATACAGCATGTTAGAATTGACAACTAGTACTCTTCTTTCACTACACCACAATAACCAATGCTCTTTTGTCCATTCATAAGCCACTTGGCTGTCAGTTTGGCAGTCAACATTATAAGCTACTATAATAAATACTACAAATGTGTTTTTGTGTGGGTGTTTTCTTTTTCGATGTACATGACCATATGTAGTACATGTAAGTATTTTCATGTTTTACATCCACTGTACAGGTACATGTATGTATATGCAAAATACTAATTAAATAGTTATATAAGTTTATGCAGTAAAGCCTGGTTTACATTCAACAAAATGGCTAGAAATGCGTGGGTAATCTGACCTTTTCATGCAAAAAAAGCTTTAAAGTTGATGCAAAATTTGCCAAATTTTAATTTTGTGTTCATTTGCGTTGCATTTTATGGTAATATAAACCAGGCTTAAGAGCAGGCTTTATGATGCTTAGTGACACCCAATGACTGATAAAGTGATTAACGATACACCGCTCACAATTAAACCATGTTGTATGATATCAATCCTCTAAAACAAAAATAAATAGTGCTTTGGTAATTATCTGTTGGTACAGCAAATTGCACAGACCTTGCAAACCAATTCATAAACCACTGTAGTATGAACTTCAAAGAGAACTGTCTAAATTGAGGTGTGTCTGCATTGTGTGGTCACATTACAACCTACTATTGGCTACTTGGCACTTTGGCAGTGTGCAAGGTCTATGCAAATACCGTATACTGGGATATTTTTGCGTCTCTAAATTTTCGTGAATTTGCATTTGTAAGATTTCACGAAATAATATTTTCGCAAATAGCTTGTAAACTTCACCACGTGGCAATGGAAATTCAGAATTTCACGATTTTAATTTTTGCGATGGTGCAAGAACACGCAAAATCTGCGAAAATTTGGCTGCTCGAAAATTTTTCAATACAGTAGCTGTAATGGCAAGATCTGCTGGGCTGCTATAGAGGAGAGACTCACACTGCCTTGAGTTGACACTCAAGCACTGATTATTAATTACACAGCATGCAATGTATACAGAATTTATGAATATTTATGAGTTCTGGTGTGATGTCACTACATACAGTGCTTATATTAATCTCATTTAAATATATTTTCTAACTTACAAACGCATGTACATCACCATCAACTGAGTTGTTTGCCTCATCTGAAAAAAATAGCGGTATTTTTATATTTTAATTAATTTTATTATAAATGGAAGCCAAGAATATAATATGAAATATTATGATAATAATAATGCTGAATATAGTAGAATGAGTTCTTATCAAAGTTCTTGACTTGAGTACTGACTTATCAGCTTAGTAACTTTCGCAGTATTGATAGCCGTAACTGCCAGAATTTTCAACTGCTTTATCAGGATCATCCTTAGCTAATTGCTGACACGAGTTTGAGTCTTCCTTGATCTGACCTTTATAGCCTAAAGCTTGAGCCCATAGAGTCAGTATAATCAGCTCCTTGGTGGGCTTGTCACCATCACAATAAATTGGATAACCATAATAAGATTCACAGAAGTAGATAATAGTATATGGCTTAAATGGATAACTTCTAAAAGTCCAGGCTATTGCTTTGGCGCTACATGGCCCACCATAATGTTCACACTTTTGATATGCTATCATGTGATTTGTCAGTCCAGTTTTTATTCTTTCATATGTCTCTGTGACTTTAGTTGCCCTCTCAGAAGTATAGGCACCAAACCATTTCTTATACAGTGCATCAGTTGGACCGACTCTACCTTTAGCTACATCAATC